ACCTCTACATCCCCAACGAGGTCACTCGTTACTGATATCGTGCGCGAAGCTCGGGCTCATCGATCCTAGATTTTCATCCCTCGATGCCGCGGACACACGACCCCGTTCGGAAGACAAAGTTGGGCTCTGCCCGTGACGCTGTCAAAACCAGCGATACTTGGAGACTTCGGTGACATCGACACAGGGCTCATCAAGCATGGAAGTCGATTCGTTCCAACGCAGTGTCTAACAAACACGCAAGCCTCGTTGAGGCAATAATCGATTGGAAAAGTAAATGTTATCAGTCTTAATGGGAGAGATTGTATCGGAGTTACACATACCTTGGTAACAGGGGTGTGTCTCACACCAGATGGGCATGGTAGGAACACACCCAAACAAGAGTACAGTACGGGGCTGGATAACCTGTAGTTATACATGTAATTACATTTTACTATACATATATAGGAAAATCTATGCATTTGAAATTAGGCGGCTTTGCCGCAGATAAAATGAATAAAATCAGTTTTGAATTTAAGCGGAAGAGGTAATTAACCTTGGGTTAAGGTTGTAATTACTCTTGGAGTAAGCTGATTGCGATCCGCTAAACTTGTACTTGTTGTAAGTATAGAACAAAAGGTCGGCGCTCTCACTCACGCTTCCTCAAAGCACAAAGCTACGGCAACCTTGCTGCAGCAACAATGGGGGTAAGGAGTGATTACGGAAGTTTCAAGAGTGAGTTGGGGAAAAAGACGTGATCCCAAATTATCAACAACCCTGGTTAAAAAACGATCGCTATTAACGGGAGATCCAGATTGGGCATCACAAAGAGTTAAACCGTTTGGAAGACGGCTCAACCAGGAGCGAAATGGTGATGTTCGTACTATTCCATAATTTCTTTGGTAGTGACACGCTTTCCGGTGGACGTCAAGTGAGCGGTGAATAGAGATGGTCTGCGGAGGGGACGTGATCGTGGTAAGAACCGGTTTAGAGTTCTGAAAACGCGAGAAGACTGTAGAACTCCAGATAGATGATGGAGAACTTCAATATTGTGGTAGGACATTTCCGCGAGCAAGACGTGTTCGTTGGGAACGCGGAATATATCGAAAATCTATGCCCACTCCCTGATTGCAAAGAACGTCTTAGAAAAAAGGTCTGAGCGGGGGTAACTCATTTGGGGATTGACGTTAAATGTTTTCGACGATCGTGTAAAAGTTGGCGAATTAAATTAATTTGGAACCATTCACCCTTAGTTACCCTAGTTATAGAAAAATGAGTTTACAGGGTACCAGTTGGTGGGAAGTAAACTTTTTGTCGGGGTGTCATTTGTAGTTTCTATGAGTTGTCATTTACGAAGTTACGCGTTATTATATCAAAGCGTAAAAGGGCAGTTTCGGGGACAAATTGGGCATCAAAATATGCCAAAAGATCGATAATATCATACTATGCAAGATCAATTCTCGACTATAGGCGTGCATGGTGAGGTACAATTGTACAAAGGGTTAGTACGGTAATCTTGGGTACTGACAGCTGACACATTTAGTACAATTGTATACATACAGCACTCTCAAGTATTGGATCAGAGACTCAACTTGCCCTTATCTTCAAGCGCAAAAATCATGCCTACTCCAGCCCAAATCCATAACGCCGTGATTATGGCGGAAAGCCGCTTAAACTTGCTCTCTAATATGGGTGGATTCCTTTCATGCCTATGATCGTAAGCTTCCTGGTCGAGCTCAGAGCAATTTTTCTCCAGGACATTCATACCGCGAGCACTCATTTTACCTACAGGTCATCCATTCTCAAAGAAACACCTGGTCGGACTCAGATTAATCGTATAAGGCGCTATGAAGAGCGGCTCCGCGCCTCATTTTTGAAAGAGACTTTAAATGAGGGGGTACCACGTCATCAGTGAAAGCAGCACCAGAACAGTATTGCCGAGGTGGACCTTCAAACTACAATTATTTTCGCGAAAGGAAGTAAGCTATTCATTTCACCAGAGCCCAGTATAGCCGCCGGTCCACCAAATGTACCTCGAGAAGATGGGCGACCTCTCTCTAATTCAGTAGAGATAGCTAAGTCGAATCCTTTCGCGACTGGCTCTCGTTAGCTCTCTCGATTGTGACGGCACGTCGGTTCTCTTTAATAAACCTGTGTGCCTCCGAAACCAAAGCTAAGTCGCATTTTGAGTTTGATTTATGAGTTTTGCCGTCAAAGGCCTACCAATAGCCGTGCTGAATGCTGTTGCTGCTTTTAAGCAAAACGAAACATTTATAGAATCACCTTAGCTAAAGGTGATTCTAGAAATGCTGCTCCGTCTACAAATGCTTCAGATCTGAAAGGCTCGTCAGGACGATTGTAACCCATCCGGTGTAGCACAGTCGCTGCTTATTCATATATAGATTGTACACACTGCATATTTAGGCAGGTAAACTATACTCAATATTGTTCTTGGCCCACAACATATTTGAGGGAGTCTCACCTACTTTTGGTCGGCGCATGTTACATTCTACATCCTATCTAAACATAGCGACGCGCGACCTGCGCAACACGCTAATCCCATTGAGCTTAATTTACAGAGTTTGTTACAAAGTGTTGCCGAGCTGATATTGACAAGTCGAATTTGATGCACAGTCTCTTCCCATTTGGACCAGAGCCACGTAGTAGTAGTATCAAGGCATTCGTGTGCTTAAGAGACGATTTGTTTAAAGCCGCAGAGACATACACTGCATTTTTCAGCGCAAATTCGATGAGCTGCTACAAGTCTCGTTGGCATGACAACGTTTCAGTACAAGTGTTGCGGGCCGTGCGATTAAAACGTTCCGACTGATTAAAATTTTGAAGACCGTCAGCGTTTTACATGATAATCTATTTCCAGCTGTAAGGCAGAATTCTCTAGTTTGGCTTCATTCAGACCGATTAAATTTTGCTGACAGCGACAAGGTTAGCCAGTCCACAAAGACAACACTACCAATATTACTGGACGCATTCTTGAGGGCCCACCCCCATCAGTACGCCGGAACTGACAGGCTGGCCAAAGACGGCGACGAATGCTGAAGATTTAATAACACGATCTGAACGTGCGCACAATGTGCTTACCCACTTATAGATATTAAGCTACCCAATACATATCCTCACCGAGCGGTACGCCTTTTCGTTTACGAAGTAACGGCGGGTTTTGGGGCCTCGTCCAGTATTTAAAGTTTGAGATCCTCGTCACTAGGCCCCAAGATCATGGGGTCGGGGGTGTAATACAGCAACCATGCGCGCCGATGAAGCTACATTTGAGCTTTAAACCTTTTGCTTACAAGCATTCAGTAGCACAACACATACTGCGTCCGACCAGCACGCTGTACTATTCGCATTATCAATCAGTGACATCACCATTATAACACTATATTTTAGTCAGAGCGGCGAAAAAGCAATTTATCTACGACTCATAGCCGACAAGCTAATACTTTAACTCAATTGTATTCTTGACAAAACTTGATAGACATCTTGCATTTTCTGTGCTTAGGGCTACGACATATGGTCTGTATAGATCAGAAACGGCTGAGAGTCAGGTAGGGGCGCTCAGAACTTTACGAGGGCATACTTGAATGCGAGAAACTTCGAGTGATGAGCGGGACCCTTCCTCTCCGCTGCTTAGAGGCGGCAATCTCAAACCCGACCTTTCATGCCCACTGGTATCTGATGGAGTAAAGCATGGGTAATATTTAACTCGAAGCGTCACAGACGAAATTGAATCGCAAATCTAAAGTTGGAATGCTACGAACACGTATTAGGCTTTCTCCTTCCAAGGCTTACGGGTCACTTGTTCTGCTGAACAACAGAACTATTTGACACCCTACCAAAAATTTCGTTAGAAGTCGTGCAATGTCGGTATAATTGAGCTGTCCATGTGATAGTGGTTTTGCAGGGCAAAACACTTTCTTCTTCCCTTTCGGGTAGAGGCACTGACCAATCACAACAACAATCAACTTGCACGATTCACACGCAGGCCATGCTTCTAGGAAAGCATTCAAAAAGCGGAGCGCATCAGCGCAAAAGACATACTTGTCGTTTTGGAGAAATGCTTAGCAAAGTGCATAAAGTTGAGTCTTGTTTGGATGTGTATAAGATGGTTTTTTTATCGACTCCGAGCTCTTCATGTGGCCTGATCAGCTACGTCACCAGTCGAATCAACGTCGCTGGTGCGTAAGACACCCCCAAGTGGATCCTGGATATTCAAAGCAGTAGGAGGAGCATCGCTATATTTAGCTCAATAAACTCGTCAACTAATATGTAGCTGATCATACTGTTCTGCATTGCGTAAGCGGCATTTGCGCTGAAATTTTGGCTGCATATGAACAACCATAAGCATGCGCAATTTGACATTGCCCTTTTCTCTTTCAGGCAGAAAAAGTCGACGCCGAGTTGAAATCTTTTAACAAACATGCTTCGTGCAAAAAAGCATCAATGACGTCGTACTGTGCCGTTAATTGCCGTGTGATGCTATATTTTGCTCTAAAAATCGAGCGGATTTCATGACACATTCCCCCGTCCAGAGTAATACGCGTGGTAAGAACTCGTCACAGCGTCGTCATATTCCATCAACAAAGGATATATAAATATCAGCAGAATTTGTACACCTCAGCTTTTCTTCGAAACCCGCCATACCATTACGGAAATTTCACCGTCTTAGCAAGTCCTTGCACATATTTCCGAAAGGTTATTCTTTCAGCTCTACAAGATCTCCTGCCAAAAGAGAATGATTGTCATTTACAGGTCGCTCCATTCATTCATGAAAACCTCCATTACTTACTCGTGAATATGCAGTATTCCACACCAGTCCGTCAGGTGGTAGTGCCGAATTAACATTAAACGGTTATTAAAGTAAGTCATTCCTTTTTCGTCAGAGCTTAGACACTACACACACTATATGCAGTTGCTCTTTAGCTCCAGCGCCTCTGGTCCGCAATTTTCAACAACCGGTCGCTGCTATTCTCCACCAGTCTCAGCACACAAATAAACAGCTGTTCCTAATCGTCTTGCCAGGGATACACTCTGAGGATCACGATATACATTAGTGATTTTGCGTATACACTCCGAAGACAGCGATTTGCGATTCTCCTTTTCCTAATCATCCAGAACCTCGGCAGCTCGTCACTTTTGCCTTCTAGGTAGCGCTCGAGGATCTAGCAATATTTGTTTCAGGCGTTCCTAGTGTTTTGTATGGAAGCTGTCACGGCGTCATGCTCAGGCCAAATGCGCATGTGTTTACTGTCATAGATGGAATTATGACTTGCCAAAAAACTCCCATGAGAGGAGCGTAAGCCATCTAACCTTTTCAACTTCCGTCGACCCACGGCTTATGGCATTCCAGATACGCCATGCCAAAAATGACAAAATTTGTAAATCAGTGTACACAAAAGTCTCTTGAAGGCTCGACATAAACTACGAAAATCCCTGTCGCAAGACACACAATTACCGTATTTGTATACAGCATCATCAATGCTTCACGTACTTTATACTGATCCGACAGTCACCCGTCGTGAAAAACCGCTTGATCTATCATGATTTTCTTTGGTTTACAAAGATTGGAATGTTGACACCAGCATGGGTTGTAATTTGTTCTTCTATGTAAAGGATTTTTTTAAAGGCAGGACCTCATTGATCAGGACCTTCATGAGGTATAAAAAGTCTCAATTTTTCAGTATGCTGCCCTGAACTGCCGGGGTTTGTCCTCCCTGGTGATTTTTTGCTCCCAACCAAGAGCGAAGGAAGCAAGTAATGCGCAGATGTTTCACTTGCGGTCGTACAGAATATTTGCGGGTATCGCGGTGGTGCCGAGCATCTACGAGTTTTTTTCTCTCTTTCTTATGGTCGAGGTACATGCCTTTGATGTGGACACAGATCTTCATTCCTAGCAACTTATCTGCCCTCGCGGCGCGGAAATTGTGCTCCACATAAAATACGACACTCACCTCTTCCTCAAAACAGGTAGTATGGACGCAAAATGTTTCCGTGTAAGTCACATTCGTTCGATATATTATCTTTTAATATGGTAGCCATTCCCGCCTTCGGGAGAGAGCCAAAAGCCATTGCAGCGATAAGAGTTCGTTATTCGTGAACCATGTCCGCCTATACTCGCCTCCTTTGGCGACTGAACACAAATAAAGAATGCACTTGATACGGTTAGTTAGTCGATACGTATACTCGCGACTTCTTCCGCTTCAAATCGTCCCGCGTTGGTGCCGCCTCTCATACTGAGCTGTTTCACGTAAGTGCCCACCTTGGCGCGCATTTTCCTGTCCCCAAATTCGCAAGCGCGACGTGCATTGTCTCTTTCTGATCAAGGCCGATCCATGGCCATCTCAATTTCGCTCATCCAGAAGAAATACATATTTTTTATTCCGGCTTTAAAATGCCTGGACGCTTATTAGAGACTGTCTTGCCGTGCAAGCAATCTCTTCCCCCACCAGCGTCTGCTCAAGGCGCATCTGAACGGTCCCAACCAGTGCCTTCTCGAAGCTAGCTTGCGATATCCGTCCTTTCCCTGATTTTATCGTCAATCAAGATGTACAAAGGTTGTTAAGCATATCTATATGCCCCAGGAATAGGTATCTAGACGATTTATTTTCATCCTCACGGATGATACTTGGTCGTGGAATTGACTACAAGTGCTGCCAAGTGCAACGGTGTTGTCGTGTACTTTACACAGTGAAAGCTGTGACTCAAAGAGTCCGTAATAACAGGTACACAAAGGCTGGATATGTGTGTCGGCGAGGAGTGGAACAGAGATCCTCTATGAGTCTTTGACATCGATCAGTTGCACAGTCCACATGTAGTAAAAAATACCATCTTAGTCTTTTTCAAAGTCAGTGAGTCAGCTCTATGCTGAGTCAGTCTGCTTCATCGCAAATTTTACGGATTGTAACTATTACAATTGGACCAAATTGGATACACAGCTCTCTCGTTTTACTCCCAATTACTATAATGATAATGCTTTGCTCATTATCAAGACTAACGATATCAGAGGAAGTACAGGCAACTTTTTATGGAAGTAAAGCCGGTTTAAAACAGTGATTAATGCCAACGTCTGTGTAAAGAGTGTATCTATGTCAAGAGGTAACTGCTGTTGCAGCTGTGCGCACACGGCAATTTCTACAACTTTAAAAAACTTACATGTCATGCGCGAATTCACAAATTTTAGTAAAACATTTGCAACGATGAGTGGTGCCAATTAATTTGTTTCTTGTGTATTTTTAATTTCTTAAGTTTAATGTCTACTGAAAGAGACATCGATGAACAACACAAAAAAACTACATTCGTTTAGAAACAAATATGATGCATCTTAATAGCTGCATCTTAATAGCTGCATCTTGTGTATCTGTAGCTTAGCGTCAATTATTGAGAGCCGAAACATCATGACAGCTATAACCTTAGTCGACCTAATCTATGATAAGCGAGGAGTCATGAGACGTCATTGATACTACTAAGCTGATATCCTCCAGTCGCCTGGATACCGCTCTTGGCCCTTGAGCCGCCAGTTTCATTATCCATCTCGTATGTTAAAGATAGCAATTTGGTAGGTGAATTTTATTGTTCTGAGGACAGATAGAAGCTTGTATCGTGATCCATTCATACACAACATAATATTCAGCCAAGACTCGGTCGTCGAAATGACGATCAGCGCTGCCAAGTGCACGAATTTGTCTCCACATCGCAAAGTTGAAGCATTGACATCCCAAGTAAGCGCACAGCGGATGGGTTTGTACGCTTCAACCAGCAGCAAAACCTAGGCTCGCTCAAGTATATACCATATTTGCCGTTGATATGTCCTTCGATTCGTTTATTCTTGGTGTAGCGACGAACAACGTTTTATATGACTTCACTTCAGAGAGCTGACACGGTCTCTTTTATTTATGTAGGTATGCTTGCGTTGAAATTTCGCGGCGTCGTGTTAATAATTATTCAGTCGAACTGCAAGTGTCCAATTGCTCTTTTTGAATTTTCACACTAAATGTTGTTACTCATATTCAAATTTTCCATGTATTATCGGATGAATTACTACCTGCTTGTGATACTTTTGCGGATATAATTATTCATCTGAGACAGCGTCAAACAAAAGAATGCTAATCAACCTAGGTACGAATCGCAATTTAGGCATCTCTACGTGAAGAGGGGGATCTCTTCTTTCTTTTGAGACCCCGCACGG